GCAAAGGTTCTGTCTATCAGGTTCCATCAGCTCTGGTTTTAGCAGAATGAGACCATCCTGCTATCTCATTTTTTAAGTTTCAAGTTGACTATTCTATGTCACAAAGCCATGCATTTGCTAAGCTTCTGCCTATTGGGATACATTAGCAGTTGTTTTAGTAGAATGAGATTATCCTTCACAATTCTGTTGGCTGTCTAGCCATTATTGTCTGTTTCTCACTCTTAAATAAAGGTTGGATATATGATGTGGCACAAGTGGTCAATTAAAATGGAAATACAAAATGACATTGTATGTACCATGGAGGAGTAAAATGATAGACAGCCTCATTCACCCTGCTGTCCTATCCACCCTTGTCTCATCTGCCAGAGGCCCTAAGAGATCAATGAGATCATCACCCAATGCTTGTTCATATACCTGAATACACAGAGCCTCCAGCTCACAAGCCATCCTGTCCAGTGTCTGCATGGTTTCATCCTGTTGTATTTGGAAATCATACATTCAATCCTCATAGTATTGGCAGTGGGCCTCAGCATCACAGAGTTGACATTCCAAATCTTCAATTTCACTCTTCAATTGTGTTGGACATTTGCAACACCTTGGCAATTGGGGCACAGACAGGTGATGGTGTGCTGGGAGTTGCAGCAGTTGCAAGTTGGATGGGTGCTGCTGTTGTCAATGGGTGGGTGTCTGCTTTGAATACAAGGGTTAACTGCGATAATTAGCATAAATGTAGAGTGATTAAATGTACCTGCTGCTGTAGATTCCTCTACCTCCTGTGCAACAGATGGGGCAGCCTTGACAATTGAATCCACTCATACAGTGGCTGGGATTGGGCAGGAATCCCTGTGTTTGAATGCAGGAATATGAATCTCTGAATAAAATTTGAGTCAGTGTAAATACATGAAATTGTGAACATACTGAGTGAAGATCCCTTGGGGATCATCTCTCCCTGGTTGGAGGGCCCAACCCCAGTATTGATGGCTTTGGAAGCCATTGAAACATGTCACTTTGGGGGACATTCCTTTGGGCTTTGGGATTCTTGGGCCTCCATCATTGGGGACAGACTTTGAGCTTGCTTTTTTCCTCTGGCTCATGATGGATTCCATTGAGTTGGAGCAGCAATCCTGGCTTTGGCATGGCTACATCGAATCTTGCAACCATCACATAGGAAGCAGGACTTCCCAGGGTTCTTGTAGCATCAGACCTTGCATCTGCAGCACGACTCACAGGAATGGGGGTTGGGGGAAGGCATCCTTCTGGCAGCTATGGCAGTGTGACCATAAAGTCCATCTGACAGTGGACAAGGCTTGCATTTTGATTGGCCTTGAGCAGGAATGTCTTCATCATTGTTGGTTTCTGCTGTTGCCTTCCTAGAGCAGGATCAATGTCTGGATCAATGGGATGTCATTTTTGTGGCAGCTTTGCACTTCTGCCTGCCTTGCACTGGTTCTTCCTTGTCATCCTCCTTCTCTGGCACCTCATCTTCACCCTCATCATCCACCTCCATCCTGTGTGAGCTATCTGCTATCATTTGCTCCACCTCTGCCTTGGTTGCTTTCTGTTTTCCTTTGTCGCTCATAAGCATTTCAGTCTCTTGAGCAGGTGGTGTTGGTGTTGGCACCATGCAGGGCATAGGGAGGCCCAACTGGTGATAGTCATATTGATGCTCAACAATGTCAAGCCACTTGTGGTTGGCAACATTGGTTTTGGAAGGGGATAGGGTGGTCTTCCACTCAGGCCATGGGTGCTTGATCAAGCCAAGGTCTTCATGCCATTTAAGAACATGTCAACACTGATGAGGGTCATTGGAATCTTATCCATCCTGGTGATGAGGTCATGTACAGCATGCTGAATGCATCAGTTAGTGAAAAAATGTGATGATGCTATGATGCACTAGTTCATCATTTATTGCCTTGATGGCACCTCTCCACTTTGCAATCTTGTCCACCTTTCCCAGCTTGCTGCTTTCCACAATATCCTTGAAGTAAATTTGAAGGATGCAGTTGGCTGCAGCATTGAGCTCAGGCAATTTCTTGAAGAGCTTGCGAGATGATGACAATGACATGTTTCTGATGATGAGACAATGGAGTTGTTTGATGGTGAGAGTGGTGATGGTGATTGGAGAGTGGAAGAGTCAGAGGTTCAAGATGGACAATGAGATATGCAGATGTTGCATTTTTTATCCCACCTATGAATGATTCCCATGGCATGACAGCAATACTGGTACAAGTCAATAATCCTGAATGCATATATGAAGCAGAGGCTCAGATAAAAATATGATGCATTGTTCTGGAATAGCATAGCTGTTTGTTTTGTGTGTTTCCTGTCTGCTCCAATGGCAGAGCCTGGCTTGCAGCTACATAGACCAGCACCTGAGATTCCAACTGAATAGGCAAATCATCCAATATGAAACACAATTTATAGTGGGAAATTCAGATACTCTATAGTGTGAGAGGTTCCACTTTCTTCATTTCTTGTCTTCCTGGGCCTGTCTTATATTGTGACAGGGGGATAATCCAATTATGGATAGGCCCATCCATTTGTGGTGAGCTATCTATGATATGATGGATTGGCCCATCTTATGCAGTGCCAAGGGTTTGTAATCCTGTGATGGATGGATTGGCCTGTCTTATGTTGTAACACTGGTTTTTTTTTTCCCTTATCTGCTGCCTGAGAATACCATGGATGGGCCTGTCCTTATGTAGATCCCTTTGATCTCCCTTTCTGCTGCCTGAGAATGCCTTACACAGACTGTCCTTATGTAGATAGCTTGGATCTCCCTTTCTGCTGCCTATGAATACCATACACAGACTTGTCCTTATGTTGTGACAGGGGTGCATCTTGCTAGATGGGCCTGTCCATTGTTGTGTTGATATACATGATACTACTGAAGGGCCTGTCCTTATGTTGTGATGCTACTAGATGATATTGCTGACAGGCCCATCCATATGTTGCAACAATATAAACAATACTACTGAAGGGCCCATCCTTATGTTGTGATGCTATTAAACAACATTACTGATGGGCCCATCTTTATGTTTTGACAGGGTACATCTTACTGGGGCTGGGCCTGCCCATATGTTGTGACAATATAAATAATACCACTGAAGGGCCTGTCCATATGTTGTGATGCTATACATGAGATTACTGACAGGCCCGTCTTTATGTTTTGTCAGAGGTACATCTTACTGTGGACAGGCCCATCCATATGTTGTGACTCTATTAAATGATATTAGTGACAAGCCCATCTTTATGTTTTGACAGGGTACATCTTACTGGGGCTGGGCCTGCCCATATGTTGTGACAACATAAATAATACTACTGAAGGGCCCATCCATATGTTGTGATGCTATGCATGAGATTACTGACAGGCTTGTCTTTATGTTGTGACAATATAAATAATATTACTGAAAGGCCCATCCATATGTTGTGACTCTATTAAATGATATTAGTGACAGGCCCGTCTTTATGTTTTGACGGGGTACATCTTACTGGGGCCAGGCCTGCCCATATGTTGTGACAATATAAATAATACTACTGAAGGGCCCATCCATATGTTGTGATGCTATACATGAGATTACTGATGGGCCTGTCTTTATGTTTTGTCAGAGGTACATCTCACTGTGGATGGGCCCATCCATATGCTGTGATGATATAAATAATATGCTGAAGGGCCCATCCATATGTTGTGATGCTATGCATGAGATTACTGACAGGCTTGTCTTTATGTTGTGACAATATAAATAATATTACTGAAAGGCCCATCCATATGTTGTGACTCTATTAAATGATATTAGTGACAGGCCCGTCTTTATGTTTTGACGGGGTACATCTTACTGGGGCCAGGCCTGCCCATATGTTGTGACAATATAAATAATACTACTGAAGGGCCCATCCATATGTTGTGATGCTATACATGAGATTACTGATGGGCCTGTCTTTATGTTTTGTCAGAGGTACATCTCACTGTGGATGGGCCCATCCATATGCTGTGATGATATAAATAATATGCTGAAGGGCCCATCCATATGTTGTGACTCTATTAAATGATATTAGTGATGGGCCTGTCTTTATGTTTTGACAGGGTACATCTTACTGTCCATATGTTGTGATGCTATACATGCAATTACTGATGGGCCCATCTTTATGTTGTGACAATATAAATAATATTACTGAAGGGCCTGTCCATATGTTGTGACTCTATTAAATGATATTAGTGATGGGCCTGTCTTTATGTTTCAACAGGGTACATCTTACTGGGGCTGGGCCTGCCCATATGTTGTGACAATATAAATAATACTACTGAAGGGCCTGTCCATATGTTGTGATGCTATACATGAGATTACTGACAGGCCTGTCTTTATGTTTCATCAGAGGTACATCTTACTGTGGATGGGCCCATCCATATGTTGCATAATACTACTGATGGGCCTGACCTTATGTTGTGACTCTATTAAATGATACTAGTGACAGGCCCATCTTTACATTTCAACAGTGGTACATCTTACTGTCGACAGGCCCATCTTTATGTTGCAACAGGGGTATGGCTTATTATGAACAGGCCTGTCTAGATGTTGTGACACCATAAATGATATTACTCCCGGGCCCATCCATATGTTGCAACAGGGGTGTAACCTACCAGGATGGGCCCATCCATGTCTTACAGCAACTCAGTATACTTAATTGGTCATGGGCCCATCTAAATGTTTCAACATCCTTACCCACCATGGGCCCTCCCATATGCTGTGGTAATCCACTTACAGGCCTGTACATATGTTGCTCTCACTTTAGTCCCTTGGGCCTGTCCATGTGTACTGGCTGATCTATTTAGGCAGGCCCATCTTGGGGTCTATATAAGTGTTGGTGTTTTGGCACACAAGCTGCCCATGTGTTGTGACTAAATGTGACTACACTATGTGCATTGCAAGTGTGAGTTTGTCCTCTTCTTTCCTAACTGTGTGCAATAATCCTGCTGTGCATCATATTTTATCTAGACTGACATGAGCTACAATGAAATCCCAATCATGTTCCTACCCTTACCACCCCTGTGGAACCCAATGGACACCAACCACTGGTTGGAACTGTCAAAGTGGATTGAACAGTGGCTGGTGGACATCGTGCAAGTGATGAATGTTCCTGAATGGACATGGGGTCATGATGTGTTCTGGCTTGCATATATTGGAGCATATCCAGCCTTCCCATGCAGGAAATGGGAGCCATGGAACCTGATCATCCCACTGGAAGGACAGTTCATCAAAGAGTGGCTTGCAAAGGAAGAGACTGATGATACATTCCCCTGTAATGTTTCAGACATGCTATCATACATCTGGAATGAATTTTGTAGACATGCTGTCCTTTTCTACCCCTTCCCTTTGCTAGTCTCCAACTGATCTATGTGTTCTGTCCTCACTATATATGCATAACTACCTGTTGTAGTTTGTTGTAGTTTGCAATGGATGTGATGTGTTTCTGACCAGAAACATCTGCTCAATTCTTGGAAGTGACCAGCAGGGTAACAGTTGCAGATATTGGTGTCACCACCATGTGCAGTGGGTATCTGACCTACATGAGCTGCATGCCCATAGTATACCCTCAGCCAGTATGGGATCCATGCTGAAATAAGTGTATGGCACATCTGCCATGATCAGTACCAGGCTGTCATACATTCCTTGCCTGGCCTGGCCTTACCATGGATGTTCCGGGTACCTCGCACAACGTATATTACACGTATCCAACATTAGCGATGTGTTTGACAATTTTTGAATTTCTAGAATCCGATAACGTGGGAGATAGTTTCCGGGGCTCATGGGTTCTGCAAATTTGGCAACTAGACGTGTAGAAGCAGTCCGTTCTGGGGTCTGGATGTCGTATTGGGGTGCAAGCAAGCCCCTGTAAGTCCCCCGCGTGGCCACGGTTAGTAATTTATCCCCAATTGTTCCCAGAAAAATGATGGGACACGCATGATCAGTGCAACCCTCGGGTCTTGGCGGCGAAGCAATAGTAAGGAGACGTAGAAGCGCGGCATCCGGGCATTGATTTCCCTTTGCAAGTCCGCCCATTATAAGTCTAGTTATTACTCGGCAGAGCCTTTCTTCATCCCACTCTTACTTGGGTAGCAGAGCTCTATGACCGCCAAGCACCGTCGAGCGCCATCTACACCGCTACCTCCTCTGCTATCTGGTGGGTGTATATCGCCCATAGGGGGTTGCATATCCAATCCTTAGCGGCGAAATGGCGTCGAAGGTGACGAAGACTAGACATGAACAGATCACTAACTTCTCTGTCTCTGCGGGTGTAGGCATTCCAAAACGAATGAAGCCAACTGTCTCTTCTGTCTTCGTGCTCGCCTTCGCGTTGTCCCCAGCTGTTTTAATTGGAGCCCATGCAAGTGAGGGAGTCGCAAAGCTTCCTGGTGAGCACCCCGTGCTAGCAGTCATGAAATGTACCTCTGATGCCTCGTGTCAGTGATGGGTTTTAACAGTTCGTGGGCCCGTTTCCGCGTACACAACTGGAACTGACACAAACTTATCTTGAATCGTAAAGCTTGGAATGCATACCATGTAGATCTCCTGCACACGATCCGTTTCGTCGCACTGTCTAATAACCAGTTCTCTGTATTAGTGCAACATTAGCGAGGACATCGTTATCCAAAATGCTAATCTTATGATATCCCTGGGCTTAGCGGTGCGTGGCGTAATCGTCGCAAATGTACTTTCGGGCACGCATAGATTCATTTTGTGTCTCCCCAGGATGCAGGATACAACTACGTTAACATTGACGATTGCTACGCTGCGAAACAGCGCAACTCTGATGGCGATATCGTTGCGAGTAAGCTGTGGTAGTTGGAAATTGGGCTATATATAGAATGACTCACTTCTTCAGATCAAACCAAATTCCCATCTGGCATGAAAACACTGACGGACAGCATTCATGCTTTGGGATTGTGAGTTCCCAAATTATTCCTAGTTCAGATCCCATTCTCGGACCTAAACTGTTTCATAGGAACGCTGGAATCGTGGGTTGCACAGCCTGGCAACACTAAAAGCGACTTTATTAACCCCCATCATTATCAAGTACAGTGACGCTGGCTGGTTTACTTGTCAACTCTATCCTGGCTCGTACCAAAACGAAGCAAGGTACGCTCGATCGCTCTCTAACGATCGTTTCTGCTGAACCGCGCTCAGAGATGCGAACTTGTTTCAGGATGAATGGGGCTTTGACTACTTGAAGTACGACACTACGAGTTTCGTATGCTTAGGCACTCATACTTTCCATTTGCAGGTACGACAACTGTGCCGTTCCATTTGACAACATCACGAGGGAGAATATCATGGGTCGTGCGTGTACTTCAACATTGTTGCCACTCAATTCCTCAGCCTGTACTAGGATATGCGCGCATGGCAAATGCTATATCCGATTTATCCCAGTCTACGGGGAAACCGCCTCTAATTTTGTCCCTGTGCGAATGGGGAAGGGTATGCGTGAGACATTTTGTGTTGGAAGCCAGCGTTCATGCCCTCGTGTACAGGAGCAGGTATGGTTGTGGGGGAAGAGATACGGTCAGAGTTGGCGGGTATGTTTTCGTATACTAGCGGAGTGGGACTGATCCTGACGACGAAATGCCCAGACTGCCAACGCTATTTGTGTGTTCAATGAATCTCTGTGCTTGCGCGTATGCGTGTATTGAGCGTTTGCAGTGCCTTACTGGGGATCTGTCGCTAGCATCATTAATCAGTAGGGGCCTCGCCACAATGTGGTCTTGGATTTGTTAACGGGATTTTACAGAAATTCTTTCTATTCTTGGGCAAACGATTTCTACGGACATAACGACATGGACATGGTAAGCAGCGGCTTGTCTGTTGTGTGTCTGTGTGATAAAACTCACAAATTGACATTGCTATAGCTCGAAATGTAAGTAAAAAGCTGTGATGCTATCGCAAGCTAACTTCGTTGCTCTTCAGTGGAAATGGGAATTTGACATACGAAGAATCCAAAACTCATTTCACCGCCTGGGCTCTGATGAAATCTCCGCTATTAATTGGCACCGATGTACGGACTACATATCTCGGAACTGCATGTTCCGTTAATTGATTTCGACGAGAACAGCTAGAAACAGCCAGTAATCAGACGATAGAGATTCTCACGAACCGTGAAATCATAGCCATTAACCAAGATCCAGTCGTCGGCACTGGTGTTACTCCCTTCAGATGGGGCATTAATGTAACTATGGCGTTTTGTCCGATAGAGTTACTCACTCACTTGTCGAAATCTTCTAGCCGGACTACATTAGCAACAGTACACATCCTGCGCAGTATTGGAGTGGAGAGAGTCAGAACGGGACGGTGTTTATGTTGGCAAGTATCTCTTTTCACTCTGAGAAACAACCTCCCATCTCATCATGTGAACCGACCACAGATCAATACATTGGACGAGCCAGCGACGATGTTTCTCAATCTGACCGAGTCTCCGTGGATTCGAGCAGGTATTCAGTATTCTGTTAGGGTAAGCCGGATTTCTTGAATGAAGCTTTTCCCCGTACCAAACAATATACCCTTGTAGGATCTTTGGGCTCATTCCAACAATGGCACTGCTGTAAGGAACTTCACAGCATATAATGTCCCCCCACATGGCGTTGTCGCGTTACTGCTTCAGGATGCTGGGGATGAACCTGAGGGGCTGTGGCCACCCTGTGCGGTCACAGAGTGGTGTATAAGCCAGTCTGGCATAAGGATCGACTAGTGAACGGTGGGTGGAGCATCTGTCGTATTGCCATTGGGCTGTATCTGGTGTTAGAAGAGTAAATTGCTATGTACTATTGAAGTGAAGTGCAGCTGTATTTGATGATGAAGGTTGCATGATGGAGTGAAAACCCAGATTAATGGTGGGCTGTGTGCACATACACTTCACATTCATCAACAAACCAGCCGTCCTGTAAGGTTGGTTGGGATTATCTCAAGCTTCCTTGCATGAAGTGTACTGCATGGTATTTGCACTGTAAGACATAGAGATAAAAAAGATGTAAATTGACAAAAGTCTAGTTTACACTTTTTTGGTCTTATTCCTGGATGCTTTCAGGCCAGGTCTGTAAACTCTTTGTTGCCAATGGTCATTCAGGGCTTAAGGAGCATTAACTCTGGTCACATGTTTGAGGGGGGGACCCCATGTAGTCCATTTAGTCACAACACATGGGCAGCCTGTGTGCCAAAACACCAACACGTATATAGACCCCAAGATGGGCCTGACTAAATAAATTAGCCAGTACACATGGACAGGCCCAAGGGACTAAAGTGAGAGCAACATATGTACAGACCTGTAAGTGGATTACCACAACATATGGGAGGGCCCATGGTGGGTAAGGATGTTAAAACATTTAGACAGGCCTGTGACCAATTAAGAATACTGAGCTGCTATAAGACATGGATGGGCCTATCCTGGTAGGTTACACCCCTGTCACAACATCAAGGTGGGCCCACCTATCATAACATGGAGAGGGTCACAACATAAGGATGGGCCCAGGAGGAATATCATTTATGGTGTTGCAACATATAAACAGGCCCATTCATAATAAGCCATACCCCTGTCACAACATATGGATGGGCCTGTCAATAGTAAGATGTACCACTGTTGAAACATAAAGACAGGCCTGTCACTAATATCATGTAATAGAGTCACAACATAATGTCAGGACATTCAGTAGTATTATTTATATTGTTGCAATATATGGACAGGCCCATCCACAGTAAGATGTACCTCTGACAAAATGTAAAGACAGGCCTGTCAGTAATCTCATGTATAGCATCACAACATATGGATGGGCCCTTCAGTAGTATTATTTATATTGTCACAACATATGGGCAGGCCTGGCTGCAGTAAGATGTACCCTGTCAAAACATAAAGATGGGCCTGTCACTAGTATCATTGAATAGACTCACAACATATGGACAAGCCCTTCAGTAATATTATTTATATTGTCACAACATATGGATGGGCCCATCCACAGTAAGATTTACCTCTGATGAAACATAAAGACAGGCCCATCAGTAATCTCATGTATAGCATCACAACATATGGATGGGCCCTTCAGTAGTATTATTTATATTGTCACAGCATATGGGTGGGCCTGGCCCCAGTAAGATGTACCCTGTCAAAACATAAAGATGGGCCTGTCATTAATGGATGTGGTATCCCTGGCACCCACTGAACAGTGGCTTTCCATGGACACCATGCTGGCATGAATCAGAGATGATTTGAGTGACCCAGATCTTGCAAGCTGCACCCTGGATGTATTTGGCATTAATCAGACTATTTCCAGCCATCCACCCATCCATATTGAGTGGATGCAATATCCCCAGCACCTGCTGAACAGTGGCTTTCCATGGGCACCATTCTGGCATGAATTGGAGCTGATGTGAGTGGCCAAGACCTCACAAGCTGTACCTGGGATGTTTGTCCTATTAATCAGACTATTTCCAGCCTTCTGCCCATCTGTATTGAGTGGATGTGGTATCCTCAGCACCCACTCAACAGTGGCTGTCCATGGACACCATTCTGGCATGAATCAGAGCTGATTTGAGTGATTCAGATCTTGCAAGTGCCACCCTGGATGTATGTGGTATTAATCAGACTATTGCCAACCATCCACCCATCTGAATTGAGTGGATGCTGTATCCCCAGCACCTGCTGAACAGTGGCTTTCCATGGACACCATTCCAGCATGAATCAGACATGATTTGAGTGACCCAGATCTCACAAGCTGCACCCTTGGTGTATTTGGCATTAATCAGACTATTGCCAGTGATCTGCCCATCCACATTGAGTGGATGTGGCATCCCTGGCACCCACTCAACAGCAGCTTTCCATGGACATGATTCCAGCATGAATCAGAGCTGATTTGAGTGACCCAGACCTTGCATGCTGCACCTGGGATGTATGTCCCATTAATCAGACTATTGTGAGCCATCTGCCCATCTGTATTGAGCAGATGCAGTATGCTCAGCTCCTGCTGAACAGTGGCTTTCCATTGGCACCATTCCAACATGAATTGGAGCTGATTTGAGTGAGCCAGATCCTGCAAGGTGCACCCTGGATGTATGTGCCATTCATCCAACTGTTGTGAGTCATCCACCAATCTGTATTGAGCAGATGTGGTATCCCTGGCACCCCCTCAACAGTGGCATTCTGCAGACACCATTCCTGCATGAATTGGAGGTGAGTTCAGTGATCCAGATGCAGCAGGCTGCAGCCTGACTGTGTGCTGCATGAATCAAGCTATTGCTGGCCATCCACCTATCTGTTTTGTGTGGATGTCATATCCTCAGCACCCACTCAACAGCAGTTTTCCATGCACACCATTCCATCATGAATTGGAGGTGAAGTGATGCATCAATATACTAGTAGTGTAGATTTGAGATCTGCCCACCCCCCTCCTGCCCTTTGGAGTTTCTCCCCACAAATCCCCACAGTTTATTTTCATCACTCCTCTGAATTTTATGTAATTACATAAGCATAAAAAAGCGCAGCCACTACTCCAGCCACCCAACCAAAACCTGATGGCAGTATGCATGCCCTTGTCACAGAATTTATTTTATAACATTCTTCCCAGCTGACCAAAACACAGTCAACAATATCATTATGGCAGAGTACAACCAACTCATGAAAGATATCCCCAAAGATGACACTGCAGCAAAACAGGAGAAGTTGAAGGTCATTTATGAGTGGAGCAAGAGTTTCTCAGCAGTGCCCACTAACAAATCAGTCAAGTCCATCAGAGTCAGACTCCACAATGCAAAGATGCAGTTCTCTGGATTGGTGAGCTTCTTCCTCCTGGTCTGGAAATCATTTCTGCTGTGGGGAAGTTTCATTTGGCTGCCCACAAACACTCTTGCTTCCTAAGGTATAGTCTCAACTTTGTCAAGGGTGCTGGCCACCTGGATGGTGAGATTTTGGAGACATTGTCAGCTCCATTCAATAAGGCCCTGTTCAGAATGCCAGTTGAAAATTTTTGAAAAACTCTCATGGTGTCATATGACATAGGCTGCAGGAACATGATTAGGTAACCTTGTCCTGTTTGTCACTCCCCTGGGAGTCCTATGCAGTGAGCCACCCAACATGTCTGATTCATCCAGCAATGGATCTAGGCAATCTCTTTGCTCAAGTGGCCCAGTGGATCCTACCATTCTGCAGAATGCTGGTAAAAGACCTACCTGCACACAAAGCTGTCTCTGGAACATGGAGGAGGAGATGCTCTCCTTGAATTCTTACTCGAGTCTTTGCCTCATGCTGGTGATGGAGGGTTCAAGGACACAGTTTTTGAGGCAGCAGCAGCTCATTTGAGAGCCAAGTTTCCAGTGTACAAAGGTGTACCAAAGCATACATTGGCATGCAAAAGCAAGTACCATGGGGATGTGAGTAGCATCTTATTATTATCTTGCTGTCTGATGTCTTTGTAGCTCAAAAGGATGTATGCTCTTGTGAATGATCTCAGGAGTGCATCAGGTTGGACTTGGTCAGACAAGCATGGTTGTTGAATTACAGATGACAATGATCCTTGGTGGCTTGCACAGGTGCAGGTATTGATTGCTCTTATCTACCTGTGATCACACATGCTTACCATAATTGTAGGCTAATAGCAAAGTAGAGAAGTTCAAGAACACTGGGTGGTCTCACCTCCATCTCATGGACCAGCTCTTGCCTGGAACAGAGAAGGGTAAATATGTCATCCATCCTCCAAGGGGAAAATCCAAGAAAAAATTAGATACACCTGCCCCCAGCACCCAGTCAACTTCCAACCAGGTGGCATCAACTTTGCTTTCTCCCTTCATCATTCCTCAAACTCCCAACACACCAGCATCAAGTTCCCCCACCCCCTTCCACACTCCTTGCACCTTCCACAGTCTCCAGTAGCTCCTTGGCACTGACCAGTGTCAGTGTCCAAGTGGACATGGTCTTGCCTGCACAGTGAACAGGCAAAGATGCAGATGGAAGGCCAAGATGCATTGCAGAAAATGGTGCAAAGTCTCAGTGGCCTTGCTATGAGCCCCATGCCCTCTGCACCAGTAAAGACAGCCACTGAAGAAAGTATGGAGACAACAATGCTTATTATTAATGCCCTTGATATGCCTCAGCAGGATCACTTCAAGATACTCAACTACCTTGCCACTCCTGGCAATGCAAACCAAATTATTATCTTCAACAAACTTGAGGAGAACATGTGCATCAGGTGGATCCAGTGGAAGTTGTTACAAGTTCACAAGTCAGGTAATGTTGTTTGAGTAGTTTGTTGCAAAGTCTGTATACAAGGTAGCATGCATCATCTTTTACTGCAGTTTCTTTGGACAATATGATGCAATTTGAATGTGATACAATTGGATGTGACTGATGAAAATACATGAACAATACATGAATGCTGCATAGCACTATCAGTTTATGTGGGTGGAGGTATTCCACAGCAGTGATGCTTGTCCATATGATCTTCCCACATTGACTGAGTGATCTCCTCATGATGCCATTCTGCATGCTGCCTCTCTGCAGTACTCAGCACCTCACCTCCAAGTTCAGGAAGAAGACTGTCATAGTTGTCTTCCTGGAAATCAATGTCTTTGCCAAGGGGGAATATGTCAGGGTTGAACATTACACCAAGGTTATGCAAGGCACAGAGTGCCATTGGAATTCTTGCTTGTATTTCAAGACTGAATTCTGGTGTGAGCTGAAGTATATGCCATTGATGTTTCAGAACTCCAAATATCTGTTTGACTACATTCCAAAGAGCAGCATGGTGGAGGTTAAACAGTTCTTGAGGATTTGATAGTCTAGATGAGTGGAGGGGATGAGTCATCAGCAACTGAAAGCAAAGTAATGATATCAAGCCCTTACTTCAGTCTTGACTGATGCCACTCCTTCAAGTGGTAATGGATACCCTGGTATGGTATGAGTAATGCATTGCAGCTACCAAATCCAGTGTCCACCAGCAGATACTTGCCTAGAGGAATGCAAAAGGTCATTCATATATGCATCATGCCAGAGAGTGGCATCAGCGACTGAGCCATCCCAACCACAGAGTGCATACATAAAGCACAAGTCAAAGTTGCATATGAAGAGGCAGTTTTGAGATAGATACCCCTTGTGGTTCCACCAAGTCACCTGTTCTTCTAGGGGCACATATGCCCAGATATGCATGCCATCAACAGCACTGATGCAGTCATGGAAAAAAAATAAAATGTGGATCATGAGTGATAGTTTCAGATGGGGGGGTCATTGAATTGGGGAATCTGACTTGCAAGGAGTAGAAAGGATTGGATGAAAACTCAATGAGGATGAGTTTGAAGTATCTGAAAATCTGTACAGCTCCATTATTTCAGATCAAGAATAATATGACTCACTTGGCTACAGTTTCCAGTGTATGTTGAAACCTTTCACTGACATGGCAAGAGGAAAGTCCAGTGATGCAGAAGTAGAGAAAGATAGCGAAGTCAGTTCTTCAACAGAGATACCATGGTGGCTTCTAGAAAAACTGCAGTCACATGGAATGGATATGAGGGCTTCAAATTGCTCTTTTTGAATGCTGAGGTTGTTCTTGATGTGCTGTGGATGGCCATCTAGCAGTTTGTAAACCCAGGCTTCACTGGTAAGGATGGAGGTGTGATAAGGGATCAGTGTAGAAGCAGAAAAAATAAAAGCTGGTAGTAGTAGCAGGCATGGGCAATAAGACATGAAAGTAGGGCCAGAAGATGACATTGGCATGCAACCTTGTGTTGAGTGTTGGCATTGGTATCCATAAGGACAGTGTTGCATGGTTAGCACATAGATCAATATGCTCACATAAACATATGTCATGTGAGATCTTCCCACAACCTATGTCACATGACACCATGAGAGAAATTTTCCATATCTTTTTTTTTTCAAAATTTTTCAACTGGCATGCTGAACAGGGCCTAAGATCTCTCCAACTGCAAGGTCTATGACTAAAGCCCACAGAGCCCATGCACCTGGTTAGGCTGTATGAGACAGTCAGTGGAGGCTGACAATTGTCTGTCAGTGATGGGCCAGTGGAGGTTGAGCCCATGTATGGCTTGTGCACATGTGTTACATGAGAGCCATGAACCTATTGTCACCTTGTAGTATGGGAGAGCCCAACTGATGAGTGTCACCATGTAGTACAGCTGAGCCTGAGAGGAAATGTTGTCATGAGGAATGGTGCAGCTGTGGTTTGAATTGTCATTGTCAGTTACAAGCAGGCTGGGGAGTAAGTGTCATCATGGACTATGGGAGAGCCCAATAAATGTGTGTCACCATAGCATACAGCTGAGTCCAAGAGTAGGAGTCATTATGGAGAATGGCTGGGCAGAAGTTAGAATTGTCATCATGGGGTACAAGCCAGCTGTGGGATTAGGGTGTAGCCACTGCAATATGAGTAATCCCAGGTAAGCCCAGAGTTGGGTGTCCCTGGAAGGTATGGATGGGCTCAGCCCCTGAGTTCACCCCTGGCAACACTGTCATGCAAGCCAGCCCAACACCAATGCCATGCTAGCCATCCTGGCAACACTGCCATGTGGGCCAGCCCATCACCAATGCCATGCAGGCCATCCTGGGATGAATGCCATGTGAGCTGGGCCAACACCAATGCAATATGAACAGGGCCAATACAAATGCCATGCAGGCCAGCACAACACCAATGCCATGCTGGCTGTCCTGGCATTGAATTCCACATGGGCAGACCCAATACCAATGCCATTCAAGGTGTCCCAGCACCAATGCAATGTGAGCCAGGCCAACACCAACCCAGGACTAATGCCATGGAAGCCATCCTGGCACCTATGCCATATGTTCTGGCACATCCCCAATGCTGTGAGGCCATCAGTCAAGCTGTCCCAGCACCAATGCCATGAATGCCATCCTGGTGCCAATGCCATGGAGGCCTGCCCAGAAATTATACCATGCCATGCCTGACCTGCCTGACCTCCCAGGAGCAGGTCCACAGTGTATGCATGTACTGGTACCAGTACCATGCTGGAGATGCATGTATTACCACAATGGTGGCTCTGGTAATGACCAGAAGACTAGCCAACTACCCAGTACATTTACACTGTGAATTCAATGCCTTATGGACTCCAGCAAGCAAGAACAATACCATGAGAGTCACCATCATGCTATACAGCAAAAACAATTGAGTTATGCTGGCCAGTCATCATTCAATCATCTAGGTGAACCATGACTCCATTGGCCCTTAGCACTTGTAACAACATGGCCTTGGTACAGACATCACCATACCAGATTGGTTTTCCAGTATCTGAATCATACAGTAACAACTACCAGCAGCAGTAGCTACTTCTTCCTGGAGATCACATTTTGACAATATAGAATATATTGCTGCATCTAACAAAGTACAAGTACAAAGACAAAAAAACACAAATGGATTGTGAAATGACAAGTACATTGATGTTAGTCAACCTCCATCCTACCTTCCAGTCTGGGTGCTGACCTGACTGCTGGTGGTGGTGGAGTAATAGAGATTGCCAGACCTCCAGCAGGTCCATGCACAGGTTCAACATTTGAAGGAGGTACTTCCAAGCCAGCACCTCCCTCAAATGAAGCTTGGGGGGGGGTTCAGTGGACTCCTGTCTTGAGCTGCTTTGGGATGATTGAACCTCTACAACACTGGTTGCAGTGCCAAGTTCCACCATGACTGGCATGTGAGGTACCAGTGTAGGGTTGGAAGTAGTGTGAAATGGGACCAGAGGATGGTTAAGCACATCTAGGGCCAGGAATAGGTGATTACAGAAAGCATCTACCACCTGATGGAGAGCAGCAAGCTCAGTATGGGTTACTTCTATCTCCCACCTCATGTCAGCATTCTCCTGCTTGAGGACAGTAACCTCTTCCTGATACTCATCACAATGGCATGGATCATTGGCACCAGTTGTAGTAATTGGCACTGGAGTGATGGGTGGGTCTGTTGCAATGCTTCTTGCACAAGACCATGACTGGGATAGCCATGATGGAGTAATAATTTCCACTACTCAATAGAAATATTAGTTCAACTGATTAGCAAAAAACATAGCACTGTGAAAAACTTACTGGGGTGGCCAGTCCATGGGCCAGGAGACAAATGATGGCTTGTTACTTTGGATGGACCAGTGGATTGATTTCAGCTTGGTGCCCTTTGATGTTTGGCTTGTCAACTGGTCAATGGAGCTGGCACAGCCAGCATTGAAGTGGTGGGAAGGCTGGCTGTGTCTTCTGGGGATTGTTGCCAGCGAGGCCTTGAATGGGAGGCTTTTTGCTGCATCTTGAACTTGTCTCCCCTCCCCTTGAACAAGCTGCATGAGTATTTGGTACAGTGGCATTTCCAGCATGCCCTGCCAGCTAGCACTGTACAGGGCCAACTCCCATCCCAGCATCTCACACACCACTCAGCTTCCAGCACTACCTCCCAGGACTCAGGAGGGTTGTTGATGTCTTGCCAGTCCTGCACATCCTTGTTGACTGCTGGTTTTGCCTTCTTTGTTGGTCTCCTTGACCAGCTCCAGCCTCTACTGGTCTGATCACTGGCATTGACAGGCTTGGCCACTGGCTGGCCACATCTTGACTGGCTACAGCCCTGTGCCTTCTCCCTGTTCTGATCCTCCTCATTTCCCAGCTTCTGTGTTGCAACTCCAGTGGTCCTAGCCATAGTGTCTGTGGGTGCATCTTCAGATCCCATATCAGTGGTCTACCCAATTGCCATCCTCAGAATTAGTGCTCACCCAGAAGCCAAATCCTTTGAGCCTCATCTGTACCCAACTCTTTCCCCTTCCCCTTATCCACCAGCTGTGCCTGGTGCTTGGCCCTTGACAAAGGCCTGGTAAGCTCCTCCATGACCTTGTAATATGGGTGAGACTTAGGCTGGTGACAAAGGCAATACCATGCATGATCCTTCACCTTGGCCTCTTGTGCTGTCATCATCTGGTTGAAAGGTGGCCACATCTGTGTGGCAAAGGTTGTTGCTGGGTCAACCATGTGCATATTGATAGCAATAAGATGTGGAGGGATCTCAAATGCTGGGGGAAGATGTTCAACAATGAGGCAAGATATGCAACTGGCCAAAGCAATGAATCACCTACTAGGGCAGGATCTTTGAGCATCCAGGCACCCAATTTAGTCCAGGGTAATGATGCTGACCTATATTGCTACATGGATGATGCATCACCACCAAGGACATCAAGAATTCCAAAAAGCCAGGTGTGCATTATCAAACATCCCAGTGTTGGCAATGTGTGCCTTATGGTATTACAGAACAGTTGTCTGGAAGAGTGGCTGCCCTATAAGAGTTGATACCTGTCTGTGCTCCTGGACATGGAGGCCCTGCCTGATGTCATGGCTTGTTTTGTGTGTAAAGCAGAAGGGGCACCATATAGATGCATGGACTGTGCTCATTGCCCATTGTCTTGTAAAACATGTTGCATCAAGCAACACAAACTCAGACCATTCCATCAGGTACAAAAATGGAATGGAAGATTCTTTGAAGACTTCACTCTACAGCTGGTGAGTTCTGGTTTCAACCCATCATCTGTGATGACTGATATTGTAGGTTGGTTTGGTGCTACACTTGGGCCATGCCAGAGTACCATGCCTGGCAGGAGAAGGTTCTTGGGAGGATGCTGCCAGCCATGTAGATGAAGAGTGGGAGGATATTGAGGAGAGTCAACAACTGGCACATCTCAACCCACTGGATGATAGAAACTATCTGACAGTTGTGGACACTGGTGGCATGCACTTTTGCAATGTGCAGTATTGCAACTGCCCTGGGTCTGAGGATTCACATTGTCAGCTTACCATGGCCAGCCTATTCCTGGCTACAACTAAGGCACTAAGGACAGTTTTCACTTTCCAGGTGCTGGACAACTTCATCAGGCACAATGTTGAATGTGGAACCTCTGCCATGAACTATTATAGCAAACTTCAGAGAGTCACCTCAAGCACATTTCCTCACCTAGTGCCAGTGAGTGTGATCACCCCTGGCCTACCATATGCCACATTGCTCATGCCAGTCAAAGAATAGGTATAGGGAATTGCTCAGGGTGTCGAGATTGTGGAGGCTCCTAAAGCTGTTGAAATGGCAGGGATTCCATCAACAGTCATCTGATCCCCAGGCTGGTGAACTTGTCCTCTTCTGCCCTGCCTGTCCCCAGCCAGGGATCAATGTACTGGACCAGGATATCAATCTCTCTGAGTCCATATTCTATTCATTATTGCAAAGGCATTGTTAGCCTGACTTGTGTAGCTGGTGGTTTGCTAGGACCTTTGTGATGGACAGCAACTTCAAGGCCAAGCATATGCTGCCCAAGAATGCTGCCAAAGAGGTCTGGCTCATGGATGGAAATGGCTGCATGGTCACATCAGCTCCATACAAGGAATATTTGACCAGGACTGTAAATTGAATAGAAGTTGGTGCACCATGATCTCTCCAAAGGCACCAGATTGATTGCATTGTGCAGAAATCTGACTGCAATAACCACCAGGCTGTTAATCAAGCAAATGCACAAAGGAATAAGTTGGAATTGACCAGGATTGGTGGATGTGCCTGTGCAAGGCATGGCTGTTTTGTACCTCATGCAATGGTCAACTTTCAGAAGGGAGAGCAGTATGCACCAATTCATAGTCCCTGGTCATGACTAACAATATAGCAGGCAGGTCAATATGGATTATGCTCTGGTCCATGCCATGCACCATGGATTGGACCCCTGGCAACTGGTCATAACCTTTTATGACATCAATTGTCAGTATAGCAAGAACTTGGCCTGCTGGCTTGAGGAAAATAGATATCTCTCTCTGCCTTCCAGATTACAGATTCAGCCCAGCATTGGACTATGGCATGTCCATGGCCATCAGACAGAGTGCTTCACCAGATATGCTTGCAAACTTTATTCCAGGTGCCAGCTGGGTGGATGGTGAAATCATGGAGACCCTCTGGTCTTCTCTCAACATAATCTCAACACCAGCCTGGGGAATGGTGACAGCACATCATCAGGAGTTGCTGGACTTCCAAATGAATGATAGTAACTTCCTCAAAATGATATGGATGCATATGTCATCACAGTACCTGGTTGACCATTGCTTGATTGCTTGCACATAGCATTGGCATTGAAATGGAAGTTCAAGGTTGCCAAGCAGTCATTAGCAACAATCCAAGATAAATTCAATGAGTTGGATAGCAAGGTACCAGATGGCTTGCATCAGTTATGGGTGGAACAAGAACTTGTGGCACAGTCATGCTGGCAGAATACTCCACAGGCCATGGAAATATATGAAGTCTGGCTGGAGAAGGGTAAGGGGGCCAACTGTATCATCTGTCCCATAACTTACATACATCATGGTAGCACCCACCATGAAAGCCATTGAGATTGACCTAATCCATAACAACTGTTCATTCAGCAGCTCACATGGTTCAGCTACTTGGATTGCACAGGCATTAAAGGTTGAGCAGGCTCAAATAGTGCTTGCTATGGATACATGACAGATGGACACCAAGGCAACAGAGGCAGACCAGTTGTCAATTTCATGCCAGCAAGACTGGTTGCAATCACAGATTGATGCACTAGTACATGGAGCAGCCCAGTTCATCAGAAATGACTGGCAAGTTAACCCCAGGCAAAGGCCCAGAAGTATAGCCCCATTCAATGGGGACAGTAATGACAAAACTCATGATCCATTCCTCCCTGATCGTCCTGGTCACCAGGAGGTCAGTGATGTTCCACTGCCATCATAATCAGAGTACCATATTTCCATGACATTGGCCTCAGCAGTCTTGTGGAACAGGAAATACATATGAGACAGGGCCAGGCAAATGATGCATTGCATGAATTGCATCTGGCCCTCATGGACAAGGCTGTGATATTTCATACAGATGTCCAGAAAGGAGGGAACTACAAAATGACAACCTGGGCATGGGGGCAGATATCCAATGCAGAGGCAATGGTTCAGTGGCATGCCACCATCTATCACCAGTGCTGAAAGCAACTCATTGCACTGGGGGCTGGGGAGGACATTCTTGGCAAATACCAAGAATTGAATAGGGCAGACCTGACTGTGAGTGCCACAATTGCAGACCCAAATGCAGGAGGTCATTGCAACAACACTCTGGCCTGGTTTTGGACCATGGACCTTCCCTGGGATTCTGCCATGAATGACAGGATGTCAGAATGTAGGCAGATCAATTGGGCTTGTGTGAAATACTGACTGAATTATCACAGTTTATCAAGTCAACTGGCTGCATACAAAAGCACTATGGGATTCGCTGGGAAGAAGAGCTAGAGTTACTCACTGGAGACTGGGTGGACACAGAAATTCTTCTTACACAAGGAGAAATTCTGGAGTGGCTGGCATATGGAGGCATTGGCAGTGGGCAACACCAGCTTTGCATGCTATATGGCTAGGCAGTCCCAGATGTATCAGGATTTAGCCAGAACACTAGGATGTACTTCAAGATATGAATTGGAAGAGTAATGTGCATATATCTCTAGATAGTATGAAACCAGGGAAATTACATATCAAAATTCTAATGAGATGTGTAATGAGGACAGCACCCTACTTATTGGTGGCTCCTGGCTGGGTAACTGAATTGACTCAGAAGTCCTCAAGCTGGTCCTGTACTTGTCCAAGCCTGTCAAAAAGGGTGAGCTGTTCACTGCAGAATTCCATCACACCATGGAGCTGGCAAATCTCCTCCTGATGGATCATCTCATCACAGCTTTCAATCAACCAGCTGATGCTGTCTGATGGCATCTGGTCCATGTCACACAGCAGTGGGAGACTGTCTTTTCCTTCCTATGGCAGATGGATTCAATGGAATGATTGAAAAATGACCACCACACACCTCAACCCCAACAAAGAATTCCTTGGCCTCCTGCAAAACTTCCACCAATGACTGACAATCATACCCATCCAGATGGGTAGGGTCCCTTGTCCACCAGGTATGTGGCATAGGACCAGTGTGGATCATACATCTCACCTCTCCTCTTTTGACCTGCAGCACATTCAACTCCATGATGTGTGCCAGCAGGGCAGTCTCTCCCATATTTTGTATGGCTGTCCACCAAAGCAGTTCATTGGCAACATATGGGACCTTCATGATTGTCCCATATGAGTTGCAGGTAGCCAGGGCCTGCTTCAATATATGCTGTGGAGAAGTCCATGACACAGTGAACCAGCATCCATTTTGACAAACTCACTGTTTCCACTTGAACCTGCCAATACTAGTAATCTGGCAGTTGATCACTTGGGCTGTTGGCCTGCTGCAAAGCATATGTGAACTGTCTAAATCAGACACTGATGTATTGGATTATCATGGAGAGGTAGGATAGATTAGCAGTCCTGACATCCATGGTGATTTGGAGTAGAGTTGGATTGGGTGCAAATGTTATTACATAGCAATGTGGCTGACACATGTGATGACCACAAGACAAGAGATCATCAATAATCACATCCCAGGAGGCCAGAATAGCAAGTGGCCTATCCCAGCACAGCAGTTATTGTTATCATGAGCCAAGTGGCTGGATATCAATCTGAACAAGACTGATGTTGATACTGTAGTGTATCTATGCATTACCAGCACTGCCAGACCAGTACTGGGAAAGGCAGCATTGCATTTTCTAAATGGCTGTGGAATAGGCAATTAGTTGGAAAGGCCCCAGGCTATCATCCAATGCTTGTGGACAGTATATAATGAAAGGTCAACATGCTGAAATATGACCAGCATGGTAGGAAGTGTAGCTAGTGCCAGACCTGTAGTAGAACATTGTATCCATGCATTACTAGCACTGCTGGACCTGTACTAGAAAAGGCTGCATTGTGTTTTCTCAATGGCTGTGGAGTATGAAATTAGGTTGGAAGGCCCCAGTCCATCATCTAATGCTTTGGCATGGTGTATAAAGGAACATGAACACCATGAAATGGAACCAGTGTGGTAGGAAGTGTAGCTAGCACTGGAGCCATAGCAGAACTTGCCATCTATTGCCTCTATCTTGGTACCTGTACCATGCTGGAATAATATGTGGAAGCTGGAGGTACTATGCCACCATGGTGGCACCTGTTTTTGAAGGCCAGAATGGTCATTTACCAATGCCATGTAACCATGGCAGCTTCACTATGGTCCAGAAAACACTGGCATACATAGCCATGGTTCCATACTACACACTACAGCTACCAGATAACCCATCATCAACACCATGCTTGCTATATCATCTTCCATTCTTAATGGCAATAAATCACAGCACCACCTGGGATATTACACACTATATGTGCCAGGAGTTCTCCAGTCAAACCTTCCTGGGACCAAATGCCCCCAAACCAGATCCTCCACTCTACATTCCAACACACAGCATTGTCACTATGAATCAGATAGTGGCCAGCATGCATGCAGCATACAATAATAGAAGTAAGCTGATGTCCCAGCTGAATGTAAAGTCAAATGTAAATTGTATTGCAGAGCAAAGCAGCATCAATCTGATCCAGCTTTCTGAGCACCTTTCAGCTATGGAATTGGGGGCTGATGAAACCCAGGAGGCAGGCCACCTGGCAGTGCATCCATCAAGTCTCTCTGGCTTTGTGGATGAACCTATGGTAATCCTTGGTACTGGTGATACCATTGCATTGTGGTACCTTCCCAGTGCCATCACCAATGATTTGCAAGTCAGTTTGAACATTTCCTTTACACTCTATATTATTCAGGCATCCCTGCAGACACACATGCTTGCCACTCTGGACCCCCTTCACCACACAATGTCCAAGAGTATGACAAGTGGCTCCTGGCAGAAAAATGCTGAATATTTCAATCACACTTCATGGTCACCAGGGTGCCAGGAGTTTTCCCTGGCCAGGCACCAACAGGGGCATATGGTATGGTTATATTACCTCAGGGGTATGTCTCTCAAGTGGCATCCAGACCATGAACTTTTCCCCATCAGTTTCCACTGACCTACAGATGGATGCCAGTTGTGAATGGTCCCAGCAGTCTTACCTCCCAGCTGCCATCCTCTCCAGTGCACTTTCAATTATGCACCCAGGCCTGTATGATGCTGGAAGGCAAGCCATGCAGTTGTTGGACACATGGTTGAGTCAGCATAACCAAGATATGCAGGATGCCTTGCAGCACTGGCTGTTGGTTTTTACTAATGTCTCCATAATCTTTAACCAGACCACACCCTTTCACCAGGACCCACACTCATGGTCCAATTGGTATGACATGCTGGCCATGGTTGGTGATTATGAAGATTGTGTATTGGATATCCCCATGCTTGGCCTTCAGTTCCTTTACAACCCTGGCACTGTAGTTGCATTTTCCAGCAGGCTTCTTCGACATGGGGTTAGTTCTGTGGGTGGGAACTGATGCCTTGCCTACTACATGAGGGACAACATACACAATTGGATAGGGATACCCTGTGAGGATTGGATGAGAGTTCAGAATGTCCAGACTTGGTTGATGCCTGCAGGTCTGGTGGGACATTCCATATAAGCTACACTTATCCAATAGGGGGTCCATGTAAAGGTAGTTCTATAGATATTATATGCCATCCTGAGCCAAGTTATTTTCCATATACCTCTCCCAAATATTGACTATGGCTGGCCTGTAATTGGCAGAACACTTCAACTTGAGCCAAATCCAGTCAGATGGCACACTGGGAGATTGGCTTGTTTGTTGTGCATGAGACTGTGGCATATGTGCCAGACCACATGGATTGGTGATCATAATACATGGGCTGATTCAAGACAAATGGGACACCATATCATGGGCCTCCCATACACCATGAAACACTGGAGTATTTGTCCAGCTTGTCCTACAGGATCATAATATCTGGGCCCACCCCAAGGACATGGTACAATGGACTATAAGCCCTCCATAGTACATGGGCACTCCTATTTGGGCTGAGGCTAATGTGCACAGCACACTGAAATATGCTCCTGCCATTCCAAATGGAACACTGCAGGTCCAGCTGAGCCTTATCACATGGGCCACTGATATATAAGCCCCATAGACAATAGCTTCCCAGCTGAGCCAATATATATGGGACACTATTTGTATGGCTCATCCATTTGCCAGGGGATGCCAAAAGACTAGCCCATCATCTACACTGGTAACATTAAGCAGCCTTCACTGGGCATCCATGCCAACTACCATAGGCTGGGCATCTGTCCCAGTCCCCTAGCATAAGGCCAGTATGTGCCCCAGGTTATGGTCATCAACTGGGAATTTGGCCTGGCTGACTGGACTTGGCCAGAACATATACCAGCCCAATAGAATCCCACTGGAGTGCCTTCTGAACCACTGTAAATAGCCCAGAGGGTGTCATCCATCCTGGCCAAACAGAGTTGGTTCAGAATTGATGCCAAACAACTGCCACCAGCCCTGGACCTGTGCCAGCCCACTATATTGTGGCCAGTAGGTGTCCCAGGTCATGGTCATCAACTGGGAATTTAACCTGGCTGACTGGATTTGGCCAGAACAAATACTGGCCCAATACCATCCCACTGGAATGCCTTCTGAACCACTGTAAATAGCCTGGAGTTTGTGATCCATCCCAGCCAACTGGAGTTAGTTAGGAATTGATGCCAACCAACTGTCACCAGCCTTGGCCCCCTGCCAGTCCCCTAGATTCAGCCCAGTAGATATCCTGGCTCACTGGCAATAACATGGGATCTGACCCAGCTAACTGGAAATGTCAGGAAGTCATACCAGCCCAATAGAATCCCACTAGTGTGCTTTCCAAACCACTGGAAATATCCTGGAGGCTGTGATCCATCCAGCTCACCTGGAATTAGATGAGCATCCTGTGCCCACAAACCACCACCAGCTTATCCTCTATTCTGGCATATTTGCACTATACTGGTATGGGTCCTGGCTTACTAATACTGGCATGAAAGCTGGCTAGCCATATATTCCAACTACCCACCATAATCCAGGCACCCATCATGGCCCACCTGCATAAGGCCAGTATGTGTCCCAGAATACTAGAAGTGGCCATAACTCATACCAGCCCAATGGATGTACATTGGTATGCCTTCCAACCCACCAGAAATAGTGTGGTGGCTGTCATCCATACTGGCCAACTGGAATTAGCTCAGCATCCATGCCAACTGACCATCACTACCTTAGCATCTGTGCTGGCCCACTAGCATAGGACTGGTATGTTTGCTGGCTTATTGGCATTATCCTGGCATTTGTCCCAGCTTACTGGAATTAGCTTGGCATTCATACCAACCCAATAGAATTACAGTGGAATGCCTTCTGACCCACTGGCAATTGCTGACACATGCTGGGCTCATGCCAGTGAGCCCAGACCAGGTTAGTACCAGACCTTTCCCAACTTGCCAGAATCCATGCCAGGAATTCTCCAGGCAAGATGTATATAGTAGTAACCCCTCAGCCACACTGTGCAGT